TTCACTGCTGGTGGAAAACAATATGGAGATTCCTCAAAAGACTAGGAATAGACTTACCGTATGACCCAGGAATCCCACTCCTGGGCATGTATCCAGAAGGAACCCTACTTCAGGATGACACCTGCACCCCAATGTTCATAGCAGCACTATTTACAATAACCAAGACATGGAGACAGCCCAAATGTCCATCAACGGATGACTGGATAAAGAAGATGTGGTATATTTATACAATGGAATACTACTCAGCCATAAAAACCGACAACATAACACCATTTGCAGCAACATGGATGTTCCTGGAGAATGTCATTCTAAGTGAAGTAAGCCAGAAAGAGAAAGAAAAATACCATATGAGATCGTTCATATGTGGAATCTAAAACAAACAAACAAACAAACAAAGCATAAATACAAAACAGAAATAGACTCATAGACACAGAATACAAAATTGTGGTTGCCAAGGGGGCAGGGGGTGGGAAGAGATAGACTGGGATTTCAAAATTGTAGAATAGATAAACAAGATTATACTGTATAGCACAGGGAAATATACATAAGATCTTAAGTAGCTCACAGAGAAAAAAATGTGACAATGAATATATATATGTTCATATAACTGAAAAATTGTGCTCTACCCTGGAATTTGACACAACATTGTAAAATGATTATAAATCAATAAAAAAATGTTAGAAAAAAAAGAAGTCAGTAGATTAGGTTCAAAGATAGAAAAAGTGGCAATGCTAGTCATCAGATAAGGCATTTGGGCAAGATGAAACTCTTTGGGGGTCTTTTTTCTTAGTCATGGGGTGATAGGATGATGTTGTGCATACTATTTTATAAATTATTTGTTCTGTTTTATGGCTTAACCACAAATTATGAGTGACTTCCCATATTAATAAGTACATATAAATAACATCAAAATATGCAGTGTTATTAACTATAGCCATCATGCTGTATGTTACATCTACATGACTTATTCATTTTATAACTGGAAGTTTGTACCTTTGACCACCTTCATTCATTTTGCCCACCTCCCACCTCAGACAACCACCAGTCTGCTCTCTGTATTTATGATTTTGGGTATTTGCTTTTGTTTTTGTTTTCTGGTTTTTGTTTGTTTTTTTTTTTAGATTCTACATATAAGTGAGATCATATGTTATTTGTCTTTCTCTATCTGACTTATTTCACTAAGCATAACACACTTGAGCTCCATCCATGGCAGAACTTCCTTCTTTTTATGGCTGAATAATATTCCATTGTGTGTGTGTGTGTGTGTGTGTGTGTGTGTGTGTGTATAGATATAAATGCATAATATACATATATATCTCACATTGTCTTTATCCATTCCTCTGTCAGTGGACACTTAGGTTGTTTCCATGCCTTGTGAATAGTGCTGCAGTGAATCTGGTGGTGCAGTCCACATATATTTCTTATGCAGAGCAATTTAGTTCTATCTCAGCTTTCTAGTCCTAGGAACCACAGGCCCAAAGATGCAGGATGGGGGTGGAATTCTGCTGTTAATCAAAATAATGTGTTTTGCATGTAACTTGTTAAAAATTACTTAAAAGATACATTAAGTAAAAAGGCTTTTTTTTTAAAGCTTGGATGTAGCTGAGAATAGTTATTACTAGTCTCCTTCTCCCACTCTTGATATCATGCTTTATCCTGTGCATTCCAAAGGCCTAAGGCTCCCTCATGGCAGGACACTTTTCTTAATTAAATAAAAAACCTCCTCTTTAAACACTATTGCATGCTAGTCATAAACTTCTAGAGCCAAGAAAAAGCAACTCTCAGAGGAAGCTGGCGCAGGGGCAGGGGAGGGGGCACATAGAAGCAATTGACAACGAACAGCAGGAGAGAATTCATCTCACTTTTCCAGAGTATAGAATGATTATCCCTGCATTCCACCTCCCACAGATGCTGTATCGGAGTTATCATTGCTGCTTCGTGACTTAAACAACAGCAGTCATTTCTGCTGCTCAAGAGTCTATAATTTGGGCCAGATATTCTGTCTCTGCTCATGCAGTGGGAACTGGGGTAGCTCAACTGAGCTGGAGGCTAGTTGGTGCTGCTTCTTGGCTGTTGTTGTAGCCGTGGCTTGAGCCTGAGGGCCTGGGTTCCTCTTCACATCGGCCACGAACCGGCTGCTTGGACTGGCTCACAGTATGGCTGCTGAGATGCTTGTCCAGGGCAATATGGACAAGCAATATGGAAGCGCATGACATTTTTATGATCTAGCTTCAGGAATCACATAGCATCACCTCTTCTGAACTCTCTTGGTTGAGGCAGTGACATAGGTCCACCCAAGTTCAAGAGAGACGGGGCATAGACTAACTCTTAATGGAGGATGGCAAGGTGCTTGAAGAGTATAAGGGACGGAGATACTGTTGCACCCCTCTTTGGAAAATACAGTCTATCACAGATGCCATGAGGCGCTCTGTGTTGTGTCTCCCAGGATCAGAGCTGTGGTCCATCTGTTCTCAATAAAGCCCCTCTTGGAGGGTCACAGCAGAGCGATGGCCCACTGTCCAGCCCGGGCTGTCAGTTATGGTGGCATAAATTCCATAATACCAGCTGAGTCTTTCTGGGGACTTTGAAAAGATTTCAGAGCCTAAGTGTGGCTGTTGCGGGTAAAGATAGCCTATTCTTCCAGAGATTCTGATTCAGATCTATGGCGGGATCCAAGAGTCTAAATTTTAAAAAGGACCACAAGTATTTCTGATGCACGTTGTCGCCCTGCTGTAGACCACGGCTCTCCCCAGTAGGTACAAACTGAAGGGGCTCTAATGCAACAACTCAGATACGGACCACGCTTTCAGTGCTGGGGGTCAAAGTTCAGAGCTGGGTACCCTGTTTCACCCGCTGCTCCCTTCCTCTTCCTCTCCACTTTCTTTTTCTTTTCCATTTCTTAAGGCTGAATAATGTTCCATAGTATATATATACTACATTTTGCTTATCCATTCATATGTTGTGGGACACTTGGGTTGTTTCCACATTATAATTGTTGTGAATAATGCTGCTATCAATTTAGGCATCCAAATATCTCTTTGAGACCCTGCTTTT